GGAAAGTCCTGGGGATGACAAAATACAAGCAAGGCCTATTCGTAGACAAGTGAAATGGCACCAGGGAGGAGGGGGATGACTCGGCTGTTTCCAGGAGAGCAAATGATGAGATCTGTCAGGATTTATGGGTTGCCTGCTCTACAGTGCATGTTCTTTGCGCTCTGGGATGGCAACAAAAAAAAAAATGTTTTTGTGCAGCTCTTCTATTTCTGCTGTTTCGGTGAAGCTGCTGTTCTCCCCCTCCCCCCACACGTTGTTGGTAAAGCGCCTGTGCTGGTGAGCCTGGAAAAGAAGGTGGTGGATGGATATCTAAAAAATAGCTGCTCCCATGCAGAGGGCCTGATTCTAATTTCACTTTCACCTTGTCTCCTGACCACATTAAATCAAGGCTGATGTCGATGTAATTTCATCATTTTCCTCTATGGCGTGCACCGCGAGGGCCCAGTCCGGAAAACACTCCTGTGTCTGAGTAACTTTACCTGAGTCATGTCCCGCTGATTTATGTAAGGGTTTGTAGCATCAGGGCCTAAAGCAGCCACTAAATGAATCAAGGGTGGCTTCTACGTGAAGATATATGCAAAAAGAAAAGGAGGACTTGTGGCACCTTAGAGACTAACCAATTTATTTGAGCATAAGCTTTTGTGAGCTACAGCTCACTTCATCGGATGCATACTGTGGAAACTGCAGAAGACATTATATACACAGAGACCATGAAACACTACCTCCACCCACCCCACTCTCGTGCTGGTAATAGCTTATCTAAAGTGATCACTCTCCTTACAATGTGTATGATAATCAAGTTGGGCCATTTCCAGCACAAATCCAGGTTTTCTCACCCTCCGCCCCCCCCCCGCCCCCCCACAAACTCACTCTCCTGCTGGTAATAGCCCATCCAAAGTGACCACTCTCTTTACAATGTGTATGATAATCAAGGTGGGCCATTTCCAGCAAATATCCAGGTTTTCTCACCCTCCCCCCCTTTTCCAAAAACCACACACACAAACTCACTCTCCTGCTGGTAATAGCTTATCCAAAGTGACCACTCTCCTTACAATGTGTATGAAAATCAAGGTGGGCCATTTCCAGCACAAATCCAGGTTTTCTCACCCCCCACCCCCATACACACACAAACTCACTCTCCTGCTGGTAATAGTTCATCCAAAGTGACCACTCTCCCTACAATGTGCATGATAATCAAGGTGGGCCATTTCCAGCACAAATCCAGGTTTTCTCCCCCCTCCCCCCAAACACACACAAACTCACTCTCCTGCTGGTAATAGCCCATCCAAAGTGACCACTCTCTTTACAATGTGTATGATAATCAAGGTGGACCATTTCCAGCAAATATCCAGGTTTTCTCACCCCCCACCCCCATACACACACAAACTCACTCTCCTGCTGGTAATAGTTCATCCAAAGTGACCACTCTCCCTACAATGTGCATGATAATCAAGGTGGGCCATTTCCAGCATAAATCCAAGTTTAACCAGAACATCTGGGGGGGGGGGTAGGAAAAAACAAGGGGAAATAGGCTACCTTGCATAATGACTTAGCTACTCCCAGTCTCTATTTAAGCCTAAATTAATAGTATCCAATTTGCAAATGAATTCCAATTCAGCAGTTTCTCGCTGGAGTCTGGATTTGAAGTTTTTTTGTTTTAAGATAGCGACCTTCATGTCTGTAATTGCGTGACCAGAGAGATTGAAGTGTTCTCCGACTGGTTTATGAATGTTATAATTCTTGACATCTGATTTGTGTCCATTTATTCTTTTACGTAGAGACTGTCCAGTTTGACCAATGTACATGGCAGAGGGGCATTGCTGGCACATGATGGCATATATCACATTGGTGGATGTGCAGGTGAACGAGCTTCTGATAGTGTGGCTGATGTTATTAGGCCCTGTGATGGTGTCCCCTGAATAGATATGTGGGCACAGTTGGCAACGGGCTTTGTTGCAAGGATAGGTTCCTGGGTTAGTGGTTCTGTTGTGTGGTATGTGGTTGTTGGTCAGTATTTGCTTCAGGTTGGGGGGCTGTCTGTAGGCAAGGACTGGCCTGTCTCCCAAGATTTGTGAGAGTGTTGGGTCATCCTTCAGGATAGGTTGTAGATCCTTAATAATGCATTGGAGGGGTTTTAGTTGGGGGCTGAAGGTGACGGCTAGTGGTGTTCTGTTATTTTCTTTGTTGAGCCTGTCCTGTAGTAGGTGACTTCTGGGAACTCTTCTGGCTCTATCAATCCGTTTCTTCACTTCCGCAGGTGGGTATTGTAGTTGTAAGAATGCTTGATAGAGCTCTTGTAGGTGTTTGTCTCTGTCTGAGGGGTTGGAGCAAATGCGGTTGTATCGCAGAGCTTGGCTGTAGACGATGGATCATGTGGTGTGATCAGGGTGAAAGCTGGAGGCATGCAGGTAGGAATAGCAGTCAGTAGGTTTCCGGTATAGGGTGGTGTTTATGTGACCATTGTTTATTAGCACTGTAGTGTCCAGGAAGTGGATCTCTTGTGTGGACTGGACCAGGCTGAGGTTGATGATGGGATGGAAATTGTTGAAATCCTGGTGGAATTCCTCAAGGGCTGCTTTTCCATGGGTCCAGATGATGAAGATGTCATCAATATAGCGCAAGTAGAGTAGGGGCATTAGGAGACGAGAGCTGAGGAAGCGTTGTTCCAGTTCAGCCATAAAAATGTTGGCATACTGTGGGGCCATGCGGGTACCCATAGCAGTGCCACTGATCTGAAGATATACATTGTCCCCAAATGTAAAATAGTTATGGGTAAGGACAAAGTCACAAAGTTCAGCCACCAGGTTAGCCGTGACATTATCGGGGATAGTGTTCTTGACGGCTTGTAGTCCATCTTTGTGTGGAATGTTGGTGTAGGGGGCTTCTACATCCATAGTAGCCAGGATGGTGTTATCAGGAAGATCACCGATGGATTGTAGTTTCCTCAGGAAGTCAGTGGTGTCTCGAAGGTAGCTGGGAGTGCTGGTAGCGTAGGGCCTGAGGAGGGAGTCTACATAGCCAGACAATCCTGCTGTCAGGGTGCCAATGCCTGAGATGATGGGGCGCCCAGGACTTCCAGGTTTATGGATCTTAGGTAGTAGATAGAATATCCCAGGTCGGGATTCCAGGGGTGTGTCTGTGCGGATTTGATCTTGTGCTTTTTCAGGAAGTTTCTTGAGCAAATGCTGTAGTTGCTTTTGGTAACTCTCAGTGGGATCATAGGGTAATGGCTTGTAGAAAGTGGTGTTGGAGAGCTGCTGAGCAGCCTCTTGTTCATATTCCGACCTATTCATGATGACAACAGCACCTCCTTTATCAGCCTTTTTGATTATGATGTCAGAGTTGTTTCTGAGGCTGTGGATGGCATTGTGTTCTGCACGGCTGAGGTTATGGGGCAAGTGATGCTGCTTTTCCACAATTTCAGCCCGTGCACGTCGGCGGAAGCACTCTATGTAGAAGTCCAGTCTGCTGTTTCGACCTTCAGGAGGAGTCCACCTAGAATCCTTCTTTTTGTAATGTTGGTAGGGAGGCCTCTGTGGATTAGTATGTTGTTGAGAGATATTTTGGAAATATTCCTTGAGTCGGAGACGTCGAAAATAGGATTCTAGGTCACCACAGAACTGTATCATGTTCATGGGGGTGGAGGGGCAGAAGGAGAGGCCCCGGATTTGTGCTGGAAATGGCCCACCTTGATTATCATGCACATTGTAGAGAGAGTGGTCACTTTGGATAAGCTATTACCAGCAGGAGAGTGGGGTGGGTGGAGGTATTGTTTCATGGTCTCTGTGTATATAATGTCTTCTGCAGTTTCCACAGTATGCATCCGATGAAGTGAGCTGTAGCTCACGAAAGCTTATGCTCTAATAAATTGGTTAGTCTCTAAGGTGCCACAAGTACTCCTTTTCTTTTTGCGAATACAGACTAACACGGCTGTTACTCTGAAACCTGTCATGAAGATATACGGTAATCCCCACTTGATTAGGCTTCATGATATCCTGCAGCCCTGAGTTCTGGAGTGCTACTTTTCACACCACAAAGTGCCATTTCCTTTCCTTCATTTGACCTGTGGCCTGGCAGCAGGTGTCGCCTCATTCACATACTGTGGTGGAAGGTGAAGAGGAGCACTCTGTTGGTTTCATTGTCCCATTCTTTGTATACTTTAATGAAGATCTTATTTAAGGCTAAATTGTCCCAGTCTTTTCAGCCTCTTCTTTTATGCCTCTAACAAACTTTTTTTTCCCTTAATAAGTAGCTTATTTCCCCCCAACTTTGTAATGTTGCTGAGAATCGTAGTGTCATAGACTATCAGGGTTGGAAGGGACCTCAGGAGGTCATCTAGTCCAACCCCGTGCTCAAAGCAGGACCAATCCCCAAAGCCAGAAGCCAGGAAGCTGAACGCAGTGGGCTAGATTGTAGCTCAGACTGCACATTAACACAGGAGTACCAAGGGGAAGAAGACTCCCATCTTTATGCCCAGTGCAGGGTACAGTGTTGGATCCAGGTGTACTTCAGTAAGGGTCACTGCATACCCCATCTCCAGAGCACGTGGCAACATGCACAGCTATCTTGTGCAAGAGCAGGGAGGAAGAGAGTAATAATTTACTGCAGTTCCAAATTACGACCTCCCTGTAGCAGAGAGGGAACAGGAACCACAGTTCCTTCCCTTGGATGCTCCTGGAATTGCACAACAATGAACTGCCCCATACTATGGGCTATGTTTGTGACACAATCCACCTCAGTTGAAAGGATTGCTGGGGAGGGGAGAGGAGAAAGCAAGGTTGTTATTCATGTCAAACGTAAAGGAGCTTCACAAAGAATACCAAATTCATGGCAAAGTTTGCTGCCCTGCTAACCAGGATATCTGAGAGAAACAGCTCCTTGCATCATCACACGTACCAGCATCACACAGAAAGGTATACCATGCAAATAATCAGGTACAGCACAGCGTGTAGAAATGGCAGATCAGCCCTTTATTTATTTATTTATTTGTTGTTAAACAGGCATTTACAGAGAAGACACAAAGTGCATCTACAAGCCCTCTACGCAAGGCTACTTCTGCAAAGACACAGACCATGCACTCGTGATCCTAGAAAGCTTGGACACTGAAGCAGACGGAAGGAGGTCATCTCCAGTTGTATCGGTGACTGGCAGTTTTGTGGAGGCTTTCAGTAATGCAGTTTCACATGTATCTTGCTGTCCTTCAGAACATCCAAGGGCTTTCTATTCGGTCTTGCCATCCAACAAGCTGACTAAGGTTTGCTTCGCTGGTCTAACACCTCCGAGCTTAAGACTCCGCCTCATCAGTGGTCAAAACTCTACCAGACTTCTCATAGCCATCTTCTACAATGAACCCCGCAGCCTTCATGTTTTCATGAATGGGAATTACATTCCACTAGCCTCATCTTCTTCCAGCGCTTTCTTAACTAATGCCATGGCAGGCACCCACTCCTTCAGCTTTGAGAACAACCTTCTCTACGTCCTCCTTCATGGAGATGACCCCATAGAAATATACACCAGCTATTCCCTTCATGCTGCTTTTACCATTGCTGAGACCATTGGAGAGGAGGGTCAAAGAAGGGTGGTCCATCGCCTGGCTGATTTCTTGAAGATTGGACACCTTCATGTCAGAATAGTTCAGAGTGCATCAGGAAGCGAGAGCACGTTAAAGGTTATCTCAGACAATGTCGGCAAGAGGAGGCGTCAGTGCCCTCCCATGACATCTTGCACAGCCTTTTGTAGCAGGGCTGGCTGGGAGAAAACCCGTAGAGGAGCAGCCAGCATTTGGGTTCTGCAGTCATCTCGTGCAGCTACCCCATTAAGAGTGTTGATCATTGAAATTGGAGACCCACCAGGCCTTTTCAGAAATAAGCTTGTTCCCTCCTTGTCGAGCGACAGGTTGAAGAGCTTGGCCAGCACTATTATCAACGCTCAGCAGACTGGGGATCTTCAGCGAGCCCTGGAGTTACCAATTGATACTTTAATGGTGACACAATCTGCTTTGTCATCGCCACCAGCGGGCAGTGCCGGGTAAGTGAGTTACTTGTATGTATCCTTCAAAGCTCATTTATGATTATTTATTATTTTAAGACATTAATAGTTTAAATGAGGGTATTTAACCACTGGAACAGCTTACCATGAGAGGTATTAAATTCTCCATCACTCAGAGGTCTTAAATCAAGACTTGATGTCTTTCTTAAAAATATGCCCTAGTCCAACCAGAAGCAGTTGGTCTGGATGCAGAAGCTGCCAGGTGAAATGCTCTGACCTGCATTCTGTAGGAGGCCAGACTAGATGATCATAATGGTCCCTTCCAGTCTTAAAATCTATTAAACATATGCATGGTATTCGTGTATTGACACAGTGCCAGAGATGGGTACGGTGTGAATAGAGGAAAAAATGACAGGCTCCTGTCCTGAAAAGCTTAGAAATTTAGGCCCTGATGATGCAAACACAGATACATGTGCTTATCGTGACTGCCATGAGTAGAATAGAGCCTTGGGAGGAGACCGATTAGCTGTGTTTGCTCAGGGTGGAAAGAACAGCGCCAACATAATGCAAGTTTGAAAGATACCCACGCGTAAATGTCATGGCTGCCATTTTGGGCGACATACTGAGGACTGAACCAGGGGTCTCCAGAGCTAAAAGCATGAGCTACTGTAGCTTGAGAGGTCTTTAGCTGGGGCTGTAATAGACAGAGCCCATCTGTTACTGCCATGTGCATGCCACCCACACCACCTGTCTGTGTGTGTGAAGGGAGAGCAGGCCCTGCGTGGGCACTAGTCCCACCCCTGCCCCGCCACACACATGGGTAGGGAGAGGGGAACAGAACCTCAGCTGTTCTCCTTTCCAAACACCAGCCAATGGAACTGAGCCGGGGCAGGAAAGGTGTAATCTGGGCCTCGTAATGATCTGACACAGATTATTCCCCCTGTGGAGCAGAGAAGAAATTATAACTCTCTGCATCACAATTCCTTTGGCTGGGTGCTCCTGGGGTGGCACAGCTTGCCCACTGTAATATTTAATTGAAATAACCCACCAGCAACGGAAACAAAGAAGATCTCTGAGGGTGTGTATTTAAGGGTAAAGCATATTAGATGATGATACATTTCTGTATCTCCCATATCCTCTCCCCATTCTGTTTCTGTACTGCCACCCCTCACTGTGCAAGCTCTATAGAACCTGTAGAAAGCAATAGGGCTTTAACTAGTAGGAATCTATATAAATGTAATAGGATTCTATAGAAATTACTCTAAAAACCTATACAATTTTATACAAAATGAGATCCTTTTTATAGGTGTTTGTTACTGTTTTTTTTTTAAACCAGCCTATAGATCAAGGATTTAATTCACTATTAAATTCTATAGGATGATTCACTAAATTCTACAGGGTGACTCAGAACACATATAGAAAGGATATTATTTTCTTTTAAAGTCTGTAAGATTTTCCTCTCAGGTTTATGTCTAAAAGCTCATTCCTGCAAACACTTACTACTGGGAGTAGTATTAACTCCCATAGGCAATCTCAGTGATATCAGTGGAACTACTCAATAGTAAGATCCAATAATAAGGATCTTCAGGGACAGGCCCTAAATTAGGGCCTGATCCTACAGAGGGGGATCTGTGACACACACTCACCAGTGGGTTACACAAACACTATCAAACTTAAGGAAGGTATTTGTCCTTCACCACTTGGGTTCCTCTGTAGTGTTATTTATTACTCCCCATCAGTCTTAGACTTTATGGCATCACTTGTGGCTTTGACACTTGTGATATAATAAGGCCCTGGCTAACCTGTAAAATTAAATCAGATATTTCCTGTTGGGACATATAATATCCCCTCTGTCTGTCCCTCATTAGAGTCTAGACAATACACACCAGCACAGGCAGGGATAATGGGGTTGGGATAATGAGAGATTGTGTATTTTTCCACACAACGGGGGAAATTTTCTTCCACACCTGTGTTCTGCAGAAACAAATGAGATTCAGAGATCTCTAGGGCAGATTTAACAGCCTACACCAGCACATGGCCAACAGCCCTGCAATGTCAGACCCCCAGTTCTCCCTGCTTCGCAAAGCTTTGGGCAACAGAGATTGGGGCTCCCTGTTCACAACTCACAAGGAAATGGCTAAAGGTAGCCCTGGGGACCCTAGCAGCAACAGCTCTGCATAACAGTGTAATGCCGACAGACCCTGGTCATCAGCATTGAACCGGGGACCTCTGGAGCTTAGTGCATTAGCTTCTACCGCATGAACTAAAAGCCAACTGGCTCTTAGTTAAGGATGTAGAGGAGACTCATTAATCTCTCGCTCTGAGTGGTCTCAGTGCCACTCGATGGGACAGAACACCAGACCCAGAAGGTGTGTGGGTTACAACAGCAGAACTATTTATCATACTGACAAGACCTATTTTAAATAATTTGTCTCGTTTCTTTATGTGGTTTCAATTTGACTGCTTTTTTAGGGTCAGGTTTCAGAGTAGCAGCCATGTTAGTCTGTATCCGCAAAAAGAACAGGAGGACTTGTGGCACCTTAGAGACTAACCAATTTATTTGAGCATCAGCTTTCGTGAGCTGCAGCTCACTTCATCGGATGCATGTGGGTCAGTTCATTCTGCTGCTTCCTGATTCACCAAGGAGAGAGGGAGATGACAGCTAATAGCTACATGGAAGACAGAGAAAGCACAATAGTAATATACTTGTATACCAAGAGTGTGTGTGTGTATGTGCACATGCATGCACACACATGGAAATAAATTATTCTGTCTTCAGAGCAGGGTTTGCATAGTGCACAATAAATAAGGCCTGGGGCCACGCATTGAGCAAAGTGGATAAAGCAAAATATTGCAGAGCTGCTCATTCAATGAATCGTTGGCACTGAATGAGGCAGGGGTTCTGTGGAAATAATAGTATGTAGTTAAAGCCTGTGTCATAATGCATCTGCACATTGTGAATTAATTATTAACATGACAGGGGTCAGGGTCTGGGATCAGGGCTGCTGCCCACCCCCTACAGAACCACGCGGCAGGGGTCAGGGTCTGCAGCTTGGCCCTGCATGGTGGGATCCAGGCCAGGGGCTGCTGCTCAGCCCTGCCCACCAGGGGTTGGGGTCTGCCGCCCAGCCCCTGCAGCAGGGATCCAGTCGGGGTGGCTGCCCAGCCCTGCACACCAGGGGTCCGGGTCTGGGGACTGCCGCCCGGCCCCACATGTCAGGGGGCTGGGGCTGGGGCTGGTGCTGCTGCACAGCCATGCCCAGCGGGGATAGGGGTCTGCCTACTGGCCCCGCCTGGTGGGGTTCCAGTTTGGGGGCTGCCACCTGGCCCTGCACAACAGAAGTCGGAGTCTGCTGCCTGCCCCCATGTGGCAGGAATCCAATCGTGGGCCGTCGCCTGGCCCCACACAATGGGGATCAGGGTCCGGGGCTGCTGTCCGGTCCTGCACAATCAGGCCCGGGAGTGGAGCTGCTGCCAATCTGTTTTAAACATTAGCTACAATATATTAACAGTAAGACTAATACTTATCGGTTAGCCATTTAATATTTTATATTCCTACTGTGTGTAATTTCTTAGGCTTTTTTAAAAAATGGAAAGTCCGTCATATGGACCCACCAGGACTCCCACATAGTTCATTAGCAGGTTTAGAACCACTTGAGCTAGTGGCGTTACTGATAGCAGTGGTAGGTTATCATCCTGTATGAGGGCCAGACACTAGAGGGAGATGAGACACACGTTTTTCCAGTGGGTTTCTCAGTTATTTGCTGACAGTGGAGGAATATTGAGACTCAGCAATCTGAAGTTCCATTCTAAGTTCTCAGGGGAGTGTCTCGGGGTCTGTCTGTAACAGACCTTTCGACTTGTGTCCCCACCCAAATCTCCCCCTTCTGCCCGTGGCTCTGCCATCCCCTCCCACGCCCTCAGCTCTTCATCCCAGTCCCCCCACCTTGGTTTGACAACTCAGTTTCCCTCCCTAATCCCCATGGCTCCTCAGGCAACTCCCAGCCTCAGCCTCCTCCCCATCCCAGTCCCACCCCTGTCCCTGACTCCCCATCTCAGTCCCCTTTGCCCTGGCTTCTCATCCCAGCCCTTCCTGTTTCGAATCCTCCCCCTTGCCTCTTCATCCCAGTCTCCCCCAACCCTCCTGCCCCTTGCCCCAGTCTCCTCTCTTACCGCCCCCAAGGCCCAGCTTCTTACCCCTGTGCATTTGACTCCAGCTGCTTTCTGCTTCTCCTCTACACTGTCTGGGTGCCAGCAGTGGGAACCTTACCCCCTGTTCTGGTGCCTGGCACCACAGTACCCTCCTCCCTCCAGGAGGAGCAATTGCAGGGGAATTCCTGCGGAGCCTCTGCAGCCCTGAGTGACAGATGGAGTCAGGCTCATAACTGGGTTCAGCTTGGTCAAATTTTCATGAGGACAGCAAAAGACATAACCCCTGACATCAAGGCAACTCCCTGGACAAATTTAGGTCCCTGCTTCAAAGCTCAGAGATGACAGAGCACGTCAACCAAACAACGGTAAGAATTTTGTCACACGGACTGAGAAATTTCAGCACAGACCGTTAATTTGGTGAAGTTATAAAGAACTGAAAACAGTATCTTATAATGGAAGGTGTCATTCAATCTTAACTATAGGTGATGCCTATAATACGGAAGAGAGACGGAGAGAGAGAGTACATTGCTGTGGCAAATGGCGTAATAGCCATAGAAGTAATGTTACAGTTTAAAAAATAAACCTTCAAGTTATGGCTCACTGGGTTGTAATGAATATGGAGCCTTTCAGATCCATCCCAGTTCTGTGATGACTGAAAGCTGTGACCATCTCATGGGCTGTGTGTGAAATGAATTGGAGGGAGTCTCAGCCCAGTGTTTATTGGACAAGCATCCACGTTCCCCCCCTGTCAAGGTTCCTCCCCCACTCTGAACTCTAGGGTACCTGCATGAAAACCTCCTAAGCTTACTTTTACCAGCTTAGGTTAAAACTTTTCCAAAGTACAAATTAATTTTATCCTTTGTCTTTGGAATATCCACTGCCACCAC